TATATGTTGATTAATAAAGTACTTCAATTTAAATGTTAATTTTAGTAATACCTGAATCGGCAACATTAAATTTCGTGGAGCTAACTGTATGGCATGACAATATTCTACCATCATCACTCTCGTAGTCGCTCTCGCGGAAGTCACCCTTCACTAATTTCGAAGGACTCGGAGAAATCGACAGAATTTTTTCTGCTGGTATCAATTTTCTATGTAATTGATTTAGGGAATATCCCGTTTCCTGCAAATAACATTTTTTTAAGACTTCTGATTTAATGCACTTATACATAGCGCTACAAAAAGCACAAAAGGCATACACACATTTATTAATATTATACAATCTGACAGTTAAATCTACGAAATATTTCATGATATTTATTAATTATTGATTTCCTAAGCAAGCAAAAAATAACATTTGAAATGGCACACGGACACGCATCAAATCTCGAACCTTCATGGATTCGAATCTGCGCAGATTACTGCTGTCAGTTGCTAATTCGTAGCTCTTTTCCAACGAGCTACGTTGTTGAACAGCTTTGGATGTCGCTTGTGCACTACAAATAGATGGCAAAACAAAGGAAGATTCGTCTTTTTGCAAATGATCAGTTTCGTAATTATGACTTTCAAAGGATTTCGTTCTATTCTCAGTAGTTCGGCTCTCAGTGTGAACTATTGTTGAAAGTCCGTTGTGTTTTCCAAGAAATTTTTGCGTAGTCACAGATGAAGTCTTCTGTTGAAATGGTTCATCAGTATCTGCCATATAACCACTTTCTTGCTGAAAAACTTTTGTTTTAAACTTTGGTGATTCCGGTTTTTTGACAGAAGATTTTTGCACCAAACTCTTTGTATTTGGCTGTACATAAATTGGTGGAGAACCAGGTTTCAGAGGTATTAAGTTTTGCTGTTGTTGTTGCTTGACTTCTCTTTCATGTCGTTTAAATATTATTTTTCTTGCTGCCTTTTCGGAAGGTTCTATGGTAACGAGTGATGATGGTCCTGTAAATTGTGCAGGAGTCTCAAATTTTGAAGGTGGAAGTGGCTCAGGTTCAGTAGATCTTGGCCTCGTCGACTGTTTCGGAACAGGTGCTTTAACTCTTCGATAATGTGGTTCTTCGTTGTCACTCTCGTAAGGTCTCCATTTTGCTTTTGGACGACTATCAAAATCGGACTCGTAATCACTTTCATGACTAAAGGAACCCTTAACAAATTTTGACGGAAGTGGTGTCGAGAATTTGACAGGTTTTTTGGCTGGAACAGACGGTGGTGTAATGCGTACATCTTTTGGTGGAAGTATGGGTGGTTCCTCTACTCTTTCTTCTACTGTCGTGGTATGCTCCAATCTAGTTTTTTCTTTTGCAAAAGATGATGATATATATCCAATTTCCGGAGGAGATCCTGGCTTGATAGCGATAGAGTCTATTTCTGTCTCCATAAGACGATGTGATGTCGGAAATGATTTCGTAGTTGGTTCGACTCTCTTTACCAAACTAGGTGCTTTCAACTCTTTGTCTTCTGTCCAACGTTTTGAGCTAAAATCTTCAGATTTCTGTGTCGTTTCAGATTTTTTCATGTTACATTCAGTAATATACTTTTCAAACAGAGCTTTCTCTTGCACAGTATTTACGGTATGATCGACTTTAATTGTCTCGGCATTATAAATTATCGGACCTAATTTCGTAGGCGGAGATGCTTCTATTATTTCAGTGAACTCTTCTTTAGTACACCATGACTGTTTCTCTACATTGGCACATGATTCCGTATTAATTTTCTTTATTATGCCTTGCGGTATTTCCTCAATTTTCTGCTGAAATTCTTTCGAAGAGCTTCTGTATTCTTCAATAGGAACATTCCATTCGTATTTTTGAATAGGTTTAGTTTGTGGTGGCCATGATTTTCTATTTGATTCTACACATTTTTTCGCCCAAGATTTTTCCATTGCCAATGCATCCGCAGATGGTTTCGGCGATGTAGGTCTTAAAATTTCTTGCTGACTAGAAGCAGCTGAATGACATCTATATTCTGATAGATCTGTAGACACGTGCGATTTGGTTTCCACATCCGATGATGATGACCACGGTCTAATAGGAGAATTACTTCTCAATACAGACGTTGAAGCGTATCTCCATGGTTCCATCTTTTCTTCTTTAAAGTATTTGCTTTCCTTCTTCTCATATGCATCTTTCTTTTGTATGCATGTTTCTTCAAATGTTTCTTTCTTCTCGAGATCAAAGAGCGGTGGTATTGTAACTGGGAGGACAGGTTCTGTTACTTTTGAAATAGACGTAGGAAAGATCTTTACACCTCCGATCGGAGCATCTATTGGAGATAATGTTTTATCAAAAGATTCTTGAAGCTGTTTTGCCTTAACAAATACATCAGGTCGTTTCTTTTTCTCCTCTGGTTTTGGCATGTAGCATATCTCAGGAGGTGGTTCTGGCACAAGATCAAAACTTTTCATCATCATTTTAAAATTCTCCGTTTGATTTTGTAGTTGCGAAATGGACGAATCGACAAATGTCTTTTCGTCTACAGTTTTTTTTACTTCCATTGAAGGCAACTTAGAACTCTCATATGGAAATTCAAATAGCTTATTTTCTACTCCACGAGATGATGATCCTTGTTCTAATTTGGTAAAAATATCCTGAGCGGCCTTCTTCATTGTTTGCAAGTCTGACGATCTTACCTCCGGTTTCTTTGTTTCCTGATAAATAGTTGCTTGCTCATAATTCTTTGTTAATTTTCCAACTTTCGCTCCTTGAAGTTCTTCTTCTGTTAGCTTAATCATTTCCTTTGGCCCTTTTGGCATTATCTCACTTTCCTTCGTAATGGACTCGAAGAAACTCAATGCATCTTTTTTTACAATCGTAGAAGTTTCTATGTTTTCGTTGTTAATCGTTGATTTTTCCTCTGTTTTTATTAATGGCTTCGTAACATTTTCCTTGTCACGGTCGATTTTCTTTGTTGCGATCGTTTGCTCGATTCGAGGTTTAGACTCCACAATAGATGGAGTTTTATGTTCAAGTTTCATATGGAACTTCTGTTCTGACTTCGTTTCGGTTTCATGGGATTCGATTGTAGATGAAAACGTTTCCGATTTACTAGTCTTTATTTCTGGTTCGGTGACCTTTTGCATAGTATCAATTGTACTCGATATCGTAACAGACTTGGGCAATTCAATTAACGCTGTTGTTGGTATCTGTTCGCTCATTAAAGTATCTGATGATATCTCTTCCTTTTTCCCTTCGGACTAAATATAAATATAATAATTTTAGAAGTATTTAGAAACAGTAAATATTACTGATTCAGAATATTAAATTTTTATTTCATTGTTTTATATTATTATAATAAAAATATTATAGCTTGCTTATTAAAGATAAGTTACCTGGATGACATTTTTATCCTGGATGTTTTCATAAATGACAGTTTTATGTACTTCGACCATAGTATCAGGCTTTGGTTCGAAAACCGCGATATCAGCGATACTCTGCGCCTCGCCACCGGCATTCGTCGCTCTTATCATGTATTTGCCGGCATCTTCTTCTTTAACTGTTTTATATATAATATAACAGAGTAACAAAATAATTTCTTAAAATATTTAATAATTATTAATTATAAAGTAAGAGAACCGTTAATAAAAACTTATTCAATCATATGATGAGAATTTATAGATAAAAATATATACCCTTGTCTATAACCAATATGTAACAATTTCCTTGTTGAATAATTTTTAATTTTTGTGGTTGTTCGTTAATTAGAACATCGTTTTTATACCAATTAACTATTGGCTCAGGAATACCAGTAATTTCTACTTCCATAATAACACGATCTCCCTTTTTTATTACTTGAGCTTTGAGGCGCTTGCCGAAAACCGGGGGAAATATTGTTTCTAAAATTATACAGTGTATTCATTAAGCAATGAATTCTTATACATTGTATAAAATTTATATATAATCTTTCTTGATTAATTTATATATGTATGCCATTTACTTTTAACGACCAAGTCAGCCGTGCTACTAGCAGTTCCAACGTCATTGCTCACTGTACAGGTATATCGTCCAGCATCTTTTGCATTGACATTTTTCAGTTCCAATTTTACATGATTATGAGCATAACTAATTTTTATATTATCCTTTAATATCAACTCTTGACCGTTCTTCGACCATAGAATCGTTGGTTGTGGAAAACCTAAAATAGATTAAAAACAGTCAAAAAATGAAAGATAAAAAAGATAAGATCATAAGTACATTGAAAAAATTCTAGGTTTTTTCAATTTTTTTCAAATATAAATTATGTGATTTAAATATATGTAATATGAAGTGCACTTACCATCAATGATACCTTCAAGAACTACATCAGTTCCTTGGTCGACAATTATTCCTGTAATCGGTGAAATAAATCTTGGTGCTATTAATTTCCTAGACGGTCTTTGAATTTGATTTGTTTTAACATTATGTTTAACACCTTCTGTTTCTTCGCATACGAGAACGGTCTTTTTTTGTTCCATCTCGCCAGGCTGTTTTTGTATGATTTTTTCATACTCTTCGATTTTATGAGACTAGAAGATAATATTTTTTATCGAGCCATACAATGTTTATAGTGATTAATATTTGATGTAAAAATTCTCTAAGTCCGAAAAATCAATTTGGCGCATAGTTCAAATGATAGTATATAAATTCACATGGAAATATTTAAGCACTTAAGATCCATGATACCTTTAACCGTTATAGATTTTGTCTCTTACTTGTTGTGTATTTACATTATCGATTACACATTACGATCTTAATAAATCATTTATTATTGGTGTAAAAATAAAGCAAATAAAAGTTATTTCTTTCACACATAAAAGCTATATAATACGTAAAACAACGTATTAAATATATTTACCTGAACGACAGGTGGTGCTCCATTTTCTGAGGTAGACTGTTGAGAACTTTGCATAGTTGTTTTCGTACAAACGCTGGTAGGTTCGTGTCCAGATTGTGATAAAGTAGAAGTCATAGTCGACGATAAGAATTCCTTTTTCATGGACGTTGTTGAAGAATGTGTAACAGTCGACGACATTTTGGTCAATACCTGACTCTCACCACCACCTTCATGATATGTTTTCTCACTTAAAAAGTGTTTATCACTACTGCTTGCAGGATGCATTATGTCCATGGGAGAATACGGAACTAACTCGAACACTTTTTTTACTTCACTTGCATCCGGTTTCACCGATCCACTATCTAGAAGATAATCCAGTTATGTCAATAAAACAATTATTCTGTATGTATGGCTAATAATGAAACACACTTTGAGAAATATGCACAGCCCATATTTCAATTTATAATTATTAAAAAATAAAAAACATTTTATTTATTTCTCTAAATTAAAAAGGTCGATTAATTTTTTTATAAACCAGCATTAATATCAATATTATTATAATTTATTTCAGTGTTTCTGCAATCTTATTCTATCTGATTTATGTAGGTAATGATTGTCAAATTTATCAAATATATATAAATAAAAAAAATTACATATTATATGAGAATTCACGTAATTATATGAAATTATATTTTATTTTAATTAACATAATATGCACTCTTTGTAAATATATGATATATAAAAAAATTAAAAATGTACCGGAGCGTATCAACCGCACGGTTGAAATGCTCCCAGCGAAGTAACGAAATACTTTGCCTCCGATCTACGACAGAAATAGTATCGTTCACCTAGTAATAGGTGATTCGAGCACTCGGCTGCAATATATAACCCAAGACCTAATTTATCGTTGTCATTCTATACTTTAATGATACACATATATATTACACTCGATATCTGACATGCAAAATCATTTAGACTTTTTTTGTATCTTAATGTTTTATTTATTTATTTATTTATTTATTTATTTTATTTATTTATTAGAAATAAATAAGAAATTCTAAGACCAGATATTATTTGATTATTTTTAAAATCTTTTTTTAAATGTATTTTTAAATCTATTTTTAAATATATACGTAATAAATGGTTGAATGAAATATTCTGATTTTATATTGATATAAACTAATATATTCAAAGATTTATTTTTAATTAGATTTATTTTTGTATCGACAATTTTATAATTATAAAAATGATAAGCCCATGTATCGAAAATTATTAAAACAAAATATGAACAGGATTGATACCGTTATGAAGATGTGTTATTTGTATTTTTCAGGAGACCAGACTGCGTCGATTATTCGATAAAAATAACATGGTTTCTGTATAAAATGAAAGAAAAGAGGGAAAGAGAGAGAGAGAGAGAGAGGAGAGGGGAAGAATGACTGAAGAGAAGGAAATGACTCGTCTGTAAAATATTCTTAAAATTTTTTATGAAAAATATGATTCTAGAACTTTTATCCATTTTTATATTATTTAAATTTAATGTTTTTTGTGCGCATATAAGAGAGAGAGAGAGAGAGAGAGAGA